TCTAGGACTGACCGGTTTGATCGCCTTGTGGTCCAAGGCGATCAAACCGGTCAGTCCTAGAGGAGATCAACCCTGACTGCTCTTGAGAAGGCCAGATCCTGAAGATGAAACTCAAATACTTTGGCCACCTAATGAGAAAGAAGGACTCCCTAGAGAAGAGCCTAATGCTGGGAACAATAGATGGCAAAAGAAGAAGGGGACGGCAGAGGATGGGGTGGCTGGATGGAGTCACTGGGGCGGTGGGTGTGAGCTTGAGTGGACTCTGAGGGATGGTGGAAGACAGGAAGGCCTGGAGGAATGTTGTCCATGGGATCGCGATGGGTCGGACACGACTTCATGACTAACAACAACAACACAACTTCCTCTTCTCATGTCATCTGAGCAGACAAACCATACTTGGTCTACTCCCTCCTATATCAACATACTCTGTAAATTTTCCCACCAAATTTGAAACAACCTGATTTTCACTATCTGTCCAGCTAATCCCTGGGTCTCCTGACCTTGGCACAATCTTCTGCAGAAGATTTGGGCCTCTCCTCTCCTGAAGCAGAACCCAATTCAACAACCTTTTAAGACTGTCCTATAGGAGGAGTGAGCCCAGTCCCTACATGCAAAACACAGAAACAGAGCGAGTCAGAAGGGGCCTCCCGGGCCATCTAGGCTGACCCTGGCACCAGCCGGCTCCGCTCACGACATGCCCACCATGTGCGTGTCCGGCCTATCCTTGAACACCCACACCGATGGGGCTCCAACGACATCCCATGGAAGCCCATTCCACACCCTCGGGGTCCTAACTGTCAGGAAGTGCTTCCTGGCATCCAAATGGAACCTTGGTTCCCTGAGGTTCCATTTAGAAAAGTCGCAGGCCAGACATATTTATATGAAGAGCACATTAGCTTTCTTGGTGTGGCGTTCACTTGCTCTGCCTTCAGCTTTTGCTTTCATACAGGTGAAGTATTGGTGAAACGTGTGCCCTGCATACACCAAAGCCCCAGGTCTGATGCCACCACTAAAGGGTGGACCAGGTGATGTGGAAGACAACCTGTGCAAGGCCCTGCAGCTACTCTGATTCACAACAGACTAGATGAACAACTAACCCACTCTGTTAGAAGGCAGCGTTCTAGGTTCCCCATCACAGTGATGGGAATTGCCCTTCCAACACTGGCACCAGGACATGGGACAAAGCAACCCTCTGTGATACTGCATCACAACAGTGTTTAGCTGGAAGTGACGAGGAAGAAGAGGTGGAATCACAGCAGAGACAGCCTGCAAGACCACGTTGTCCCTGCCATGCACTCTCAGGTGCGTTTCCTTTCTTTGCGTTGTGAGGAAAATGAAGAGAAATCGACCCAAGCCCTTTGAGTACCTTTCTCAGCCTTGGGAAAGTAAACAAATAGGATGATTGGACCAGTCATGATCCAAATTTGGGACAGAAGACTCTGAGCTGCACAGCATCTTTCTTCAGGTTCCCTCAAAGAAAAACAGCAACAGGAAGAAAAAGGACCAAACTGATGTCATTTCACAGGTTCTTCAAAACAAAGGTACCAGCCTGGCTTTGCCAAATGGAGTGCAGTCTCATGACAGTCCGTAGGGGCATTCCAGGCTTTGACCCGAACAGGTTGCCTCATGAGCAGCCAGTGCAACACACGGAAGCCTTTTGCCATATAGGTGAAGAGACAAAATAAAGCCTTTTAATTTGTCCATTTGCACTGTGCATGATAATTTTCAACGGTTAATACCAAAAGTTCAGGCTGCAATTTTTCTAATCTCTGTGGGCTTTGCTGTAAAGATCAGCTTTCCTAAACCATGGAGACTCAGTAGCTTCACAGAAGTCAGTATCCAGTAATGACAAGAGAACTAAGAAAAGTCAAGAGTGACCCAGTGTCTACCAGAAACCTACCGGCTGCAGACCAAGGTCATACCATGGCTAAAACACAGATAGAGGAGTATGACAATGAATTGTCTCCTCTGAAATTGAAGTTCAGAGCATGGCCCCAAGGGAGAAAGTTTTCTTGGTGTTGCGCCCCAGTTACAGAACACATTCCCTAGTGAGGTCCACCGGGCACCAACACTGTCATATTTCTGACACCAGTTTAAGATTTTCTTCTATTCCCAGGCATGAGACAGCATATGATAAAAAATGTAACAGGTCCTGGGATGTTTCGTGTTGATTGTACAATTCTTAAAAACATTTCTGTATGCAAACAGTTCATATTCTAGGATTAGATTGTATTTTTAGAGTTTTAACCTTTGCAAACCAGTCCAACAGGAAGCTTCAGCTATTGGACTGTACAGACTACAACAAATACAGTGAAACAAATCGAACTACACACACACACACACACACACCTCTAAAAGCTGCATCCTGTTGTAACCTTGTGCTTTGCCGGTGTCATAAAACCCTGTCATAACCCACTGCCGAGACCACTTCCCCTTAACCACAGCTTCTCCATGACGAGTCGATTTTGTTTCAGTGGAACAATTGTACTGTGGAAGAATTACAGCGTTATGGCAGAAGTACCCATTTCTCAGGGCACTGAGGCTGGCCAGCGGCATCCGGACAGGTCCCAAATAGATGCCACTGTGGGTAGAATGACTTTTAGCCTGTGAACTTTAAAACAACCCCCCACTCTTCTCTTTCGGTTCCCTGAGGTTTAATTTGCCCCATGCGCACGATGAATCCTTTTCAGTGTTCCACTGGATTGGACAAAAAGCCATTTTAGTCCAGAAGCATGTTTCTGACAGATGTGGTGGATTAGTAAATTTTGGTTCCCATAGCTGAGCAGAGCCCAAAACGGAAGCAGCTCTGTTGATCAATATCAACAAACCAACTCTAGCCCTTTTCATCTCAGAGAGGAACAGCTTATAACTGCACCAACTCTCCCTCTCACGGCAAACTCAGCTGATTAGTGCAGAGTGATTTGTAGCCAAAACAGGGCCAGCAAACGAGAGAACAATCTGCGGTGGAGAACCAACTTTTGCAGAATTATACTGATCTACATCACAGGGTTCTTTTAAGGATTGCAGTGTTAATACATGCAAAATGCTTTGTTTGAATGCGCACTTGCTGTCGTGACGTGTTGTTACTTATAGTGACCCTATGAATTTCTGACTTGTGGTAACCCTATGAAAGTGTGCCGGCCTGTGAAAGCCCTGCTTAGCTCATGAAATAAATGCTGAGCATATTTGCCAGGAGTAAATATAAGATCCTGCTTCGCTTTGTCAGAAGACTGTCAATGCACATTAGCAATGAAGAACTATCCACTCTGCCATTTGCTCTGTGCGTTGCGTATCTTCACAGGTGCTTTTACCTTCTTGTGCCCCTGAGATGTACTAGGACACCCAACTCCACATCCACAAGGCCTAGAAATCTGCTCTTCTAGGTCAGGTGCCTTAGGAAGCTAAATCCTGTATCAAAGCCACTGTCTTTCTGCATTACCACAGCCCCCGATCACACAGGGATATAGTACAGCTAGAGGACTGAACATCTCCATGCCGCCACATGACCTCATCTAAACAGCCGCCTGGGTCATTTCCCCTGTGTTTGGCTGCTTCTTTTTCCACTGCAAACAGGAGGCAGAGTTAAGGCTAAGCACAGCAACAAACAATGTGTCACTGCCTCTCTGAGTCAATGGCAGAGGGCTAGTGCTGTGACTCAGACTTTGGCGAAGTGGCCCTGTCAGCCACGATGCAAAACGGGTGACAAAGTGGCCATCTGACAATGAGCACAGCCCTCTCAGGGTAAGGGAAACACCTCTGCCATGAGTGACATCCCCCTTTCGATACGAACCACGGCACCGTGGCAGGTATCAGGTTCCATTTCTGCCAGCATCTGCGAGGAGAAACACAGCAAGGAAGCCATCAATGGGACCCAGATGGCTGCCCCACGTTGGATCTGGCCATGGGTCTTTCCGTTCCACTGAGGACACTGAGCAGCTGCACCGGCTTCGGGCTGAGACTTTTCCAGACCCAGCTGGAGAGACTGAGGATGAAACTTGGGACTTTCTGCTAGTCCAAGCAGACACTCCTGCTCTAGATGGGCAAACAGAACTAGTGTGGCATAGTGGTTAGAGTGCTGAGCTGATCTTTTCTTTTATAACTTTTCTTTTATAACTTCTTTTATATCGCGCGCGCGCGCGTGTGTATTATTTATTTATTTATTTATTTGTTTTATATTATTAATTTTAATTTTATATTGTTATTTTTGTATTGTATTGTATTGTGTTGTAAGCCGCCCCGAGGCTTCGGCAAGGGGCAGCATAGAAATGTTCTAATAATAATAATAATAATCATAATAATAATAATAGTGCTGAGCTGAGCCTTGTGAGATCTGGGTTCTAATCCTCACTCAGCCATGGAGCTGAGGGTGATTTTGGGCCAGGCATGGATTTTCACCCAGCCCTGCCTCACAGGGCTATTGCTGGGAGGATGAAACAGAAAGGCGCAGGGGCATTATGCAAACTGCCTTGGGTTCTCTAAAGCAAGGCAAAGGAGGAATTTATACAGTAAAGAGCTAGACTAGAATAAACCAGATTCCTGTGTTCCACTCTGCCTTAACAGTGATCTATGTTCTCAGCCAGCATGTTGCACAATTCAAAGCTACACACAATCAGATGCCATCACTCCAGATTCCACGGCTGAGCAAAGCAAGGCCTGTGGATTCAGTCAGCTGTGCAGTGTTTTCTCTCTCAGTCTCTCTGAGTAAACCTTATATTTTTACCCGGACATTTGAAATACCTCTGGAGCGCTGTACACGTCTGTAACATGAAGAAAGACCCTGATCTACCCTCCACCATGCAGGTCTTCATCCTTCACACCCAATCCTGTCATCTCTCAAGCGACACGTGCAGTCAGATCCACTGTCAGGCCAGTGTTCTGCTCTGCCATTCAACACGGATTGTTCCATTCCAAGAAAACCAACACTTTGGAGATGCATCCACAGAAGAAAATGCAAATCTATCAAGGTCTCTTGAAGCTGCTCATGCAGGGGACTCACTTACCACCAAAGGGGTTGATCTTCTTCCCAATGCGAGAGATGATGGACTCCTTCAGCTCTCTTTTCTTCACACACTGGATGCCCAAATTCTGAAAACTGGAGCACATACACCTGGCCGTTAACAGCTTGAAAATAACAGCAATGGAACACCACAACAGCTTAACAGTACCGGTTCCAAATGCCCTGCTATCAAAAGCCTGATTCTGGCATGTCCCTACTTCCCTTAATAGGAAGATTTGAGTCAGGGAGCCAGGAGACTTAGAGAACTGACCAACCTCATGATGCCTAGAAAGTTGATAAAGGCACTGAAACATTCATCTCCTTGGTTTGTCCCATTTCAAAGCTTCAAACCCAAAGCTACTGAAGAACCCAGTTCCATTTTTTTGCTGTTTACTCTAACCAAAGCATTGTGCAAAATCCATTAAGAGTGTTTGCACAGGCAAATCCCCAGCTCAATTTCTATGAATGGACAGCACAACCCACTTCAAGCGTGCAACCCGCCTTCATCCATTCTGATCCTCAAAGAAGTGGGGAAAGCTGTCTTGTGGGGCCTGGATGGGGGGAGCAGGAGATTGCAGAACAGTTCTGTTCCCACAATCCCAGAGAAGGTGCTGGGAAAACACAAGGGCTGCAAGCATCAGCTCTGGTTTCAGAAAAAGCACATGAGGAAGGAAGGCGAGATCATGAAGGCCACTGCCTTGTTCTAGTCCCCTTGAGGATTAGAATGGACAGGTGGGGATCAGGATGCTGCCCTGTTTGAACCTTCCTGTTGGATTTCTCATGGCACCCTCAATTCTCTTTCTTTCGGTGGCCCACCAGAAGCTTTCAAGGCATGGAGGCCACGGATGTTCCCCACAATCAGGACTCAATGGGGCATTTTCTTTGAACCTGGTGCTTCTGTTTCGCTGCTGTCTGTAGGCAGTGGCCACGGTGAGACATATCCAGTTCCATCTATTAGTCTAATGCCCCTTTAAAGCAGCTAAGTGCTGGACACTACTTGCTGCAGCTTTTGCTTTGTTTTTGTTCAGGGTTGCTGTTGTTAGTCGCGAAGTCGTGCCTGACCCATCGTGACCCCATGGACAACACTCCTCCAGGCCTTCCTGTCCTCCACCCTCCCCCGGAGTCCACCCAAGCTCACACCCACTGCTTCAGTGACTCCATCCAGCCACCTCATCCTCTGCCGTCCCCTTCTCTTTTTGCCATCTATTTGTTCAGGGTTAGTGTGTTTAAATGTCTATCTTCCCCTGTCCTCTGGAGGGGTTTCCACTTTGAAAACCACACAATCAAATGACAGCCACTGATGTGACAACACCAGCACCATGGCAACCGATCAAAACATGGAACAAATCTTTCTGCACTACACATTCAGCTCATTTTCTATCACTCAAACTGTCCTAGTTTTCTCCAGAGGATCTTGAGAAGTGCGGTGTGGCTGTGCATGCTCCAATTTGGGAAGCGCTAGAAATCCTGAGCCATTGCGGTGCCCAGGACGATGAAACCTGTTTTAAATGTGTAGTGCAGATTGGCCTTCCTTGACACAAGTCACCCCTAGCAGAGGGATGGAGTCACACGACATCTGAAGCGATTGCTGAATTACAGGACAGGCGGGAGAGAAAGTAGGGGCCAGAAGCACCACGCACTGGTTTGCTCCAAGTTTAGCCAAGATGTGGCTTTGTAGCTTTCTAAAAAGGGTAGCCAACGGGGTTATTCCCAAAGGCAAAGAGACATGACCCCCTCTTACCTATCTTCACGGTAATTTAAGCAGTGATCTGTACACTGAACACAGGAAGAAGAGAAGAGAAGAGAAGAGAAGAGAAGAGAAGAGAAGAGAAGAGAAGAGGTCGCCCAGGGGTTTTCGGGCACATGTGGAGCCTTCACAGTGGGCTCCCAACCCAACATGAGGGGCCTGCTCCCACAGAAAGGCTGCCATGGCAGGGTGGGAGTGGAAGGCCCTTCCATAATGGAGCGGCCACCTTGGACAGAGCCGGTCACCAACATGCATTCCTCAGAAGGCAAACTGGCAGGGAAGGAAAGTAGCTTGCCCCAAGAGTGTAAGAAATGCCCCGCTGGATCAGGACCAAGGTCCATCCAGCCCATACAGTGGCAGGTTGCCCACAGGACCCCTCCAGCAGGACGGGTGCAAGACCTCCTCCTGCCCAGCTCCTCAGCAACAGGTTTATGCGGAGAGGCCACCAAAGGAAAAGGAGGCAGCGCCTGGCCAGCAAGGCCAGTAGCCACGGATCGCCCCCTCCCTCACGAGTCTGTTCAGTCCCCCTTGAAAGCTATGACCACTTTCCATGCCTGTGAATTCCACAGTTTAACTTGGGATTCACTGTGTGAGTAAGTACGTCTTTTCTCTCCCCCTCCCCATCAGCTTCACGGGATGACCCCGGGTCCAAGCGTTACGGAAGAGGGAGGGAAAGGCCTCCCTCTCCACTTTCTCCACACCAGGCATTATTTCGAACCCTTCTATTATTTTAAACGCCTCTTCCTCGCCTTTTTTCTAAGCTGAGCGGTCCCATTCACTGTAGGTGCTCCTCACAGGGAAGCTGCTCCAGCCCTGGATCATCCTTGTTTCCCCTTTCTGTACTGTTCCAAACTCAGCAGTGTCCATTTTGAGGCAGGAGCGGAGTGTGAGCTAGAAAGCACAAAACTACTCTTTTGAATGCAAATGAAAATAGTGCTGAAAGGTAGCCCTTTGTCAGCCAGCAGGACAGCACCCTAGTTTAAAAAAATAAATATAATAAACACCAGGAGACAGAGAGAGAACTTTCCCAGTGGTAAGAGCGTTGTCCACAAGGACACCGGTGTCACGGCCCTGTCCCTTGCAAGCCAGGTGGACCATCTGAGATGTGAGAAGGAATTTGGGTTTTGGCCTTTCCATATTTTCTTGACTTTCTTTTTATAACCTATTTTCAGTACAATGTACATGGGCTAAATATATTCCCAAAACTTAAAGGTAACAGTCAAACCCAACAATGCAATCTTGATGTAGAGAATACAGAATTGCAAAATCTTCAAGTTGAATATTTTTCTTAGTAAGTTTTTTTTCATTCTTGTGAGTTACTGTAACAGAGAATGAAACAGAAAATACTGAAAATTATGTTTCTAAGAACAAGTAGTGTTTTTGTTGATTAAATCCTAAGATTTCTCAACACTTCTTTCACCATCTCTAAAGGCACCAAGTTTCGGTACCATGCAAAATTATTCAAATGTAATTGATGAACGAGTTAAAGGACAACTAACAAACCGACCCCATGGGCTCCCTGACAGCATCCAGAGGCTTAGAGCAGCTTTGGATTCCCAGATCTCAGGCTGGAAAAGAGCTCCATCTCCCCCGTTCCACAGCTGGCATAGAAAGAACCGTACTGATGGCTTCTTTGAGGTCAGAAGAGTGAAAAGGGCAATCAGGCAGCGGAGAGGGGCAGTGGCCATGCATCCTGGCAGCCCTCGACCCTCCTTCCCATCCAAAATGCTGCAGCGGGAATGGAAAGCAGCATTCTAGTGAATCTGTAGCGAAGCACCGGAGGAGCAGAGAGGCAAGCTGTGCTGTTCCTGATCTGCATAGGATGCCCATAATCCTCCAACTTTGGAGGTTTTTGAGCATCCCTTTTAGACTGTGCCCTAAATAAATACAAACAAAACATTGGTCAGTACAAAGACTGTCAGGGAGACTGAGATGCAAGCTGTCCTGAATATTTTTCTGAAATATCACCCTCTACGTTCAGAAGCATTCCTTGGTCCTACACTGTCCCTGGATTTTCAAGTGATGGCAGCTACAGGGACTGCATTTCCACAAATATATTTATGGCCTTTCCTCGGTTGCATGCCTTGGTCACATAACATATGTTGTTGGTGGCGTTGTTGCTGCTAGTCGCGAAGTCACGTCTGATCCATCGCGACCCCATGGACAACATTCCTCCAGGCCTTCCTGTCCTCCACCATCCCCCAGAGTCCACCTAAGCTCATGCCGACTGCTTCAGTGACTCCCTCCAGCCACCTCATCCTCTGCCGTCCCCTTCTTCTTTTGCCATCTATTGTTGCCAGCATTAGGTTCTTCTCCAGGGAGTCCTGCCTTCTCATTAGGTGGCCAAAGTATTTGAGTTTCATCTTCAGCATCGGGCCTTCTAAAGAGCAGTCAGGGTTGATCTCCTTTAGGACTGACCGGTTTGATCGCCTTGCGGTCCAAGGGACTCGCAGGAGTTTCCTCCAGCATCACAATTCAAAGGCCTCAATCCTTCGGCGCTCAGTCTTCCTTATGGTCCAACTTGCACAGCCACTGCTATGCATTTTGCTTGGGGCTACCCTTGAAGAGCATCCTGAAAGCTTTTAGAGGTTTTCTAGACAAGGCATTTACAGTGGGCTCATCATTTCCTACTCAGAGTTGTTTATGGGTTCTTTAGAGATGATATATGAACTTCCAGTTTCAGCTTTGTGTCACAAGCACTTTCAGCAAGTTTTTTCTCGAGTAGAAATAATACAATATTTAAGTGTAAAAGTGAAAAAAACCACTTTTCCCATGTGCGTCTTTGCATTACTGTCCTAAACCTCACTGCCACCTAGAGGTTATGTAATGGAACAGCCGGAAAAGAAACATAGTACTCAGATCTCAATTTTACAGTGAAACCAAAGCAGATGCAGCACATCAGTAGCAAAGGGCTAACCAGTACACAGTCCCATGACCATATTATCCCAATACTGAAAGATCTGTACATTGCCAATTGTTTTCTGGGATCAAATCGAACTGCAGGTTTTAACTCTCAAAGGCCTAAGAGACTGAACGTCTGGGTATCCCACCTGGCTGACTTGTTAGGAACCCGAGAATGCCACTGCATCAAGACACCTATTTTTCAGATGTGCATGAAAAGATTTATCTTGTATTTCTCACAGAATTATCATTGGCCCCTACGCTGACTTCCTTTTGGACTGCTTCATTATAGTTTACAATCTGAACTGGAGAATGTAGCCAAGAAATTTGAAGATGACCGAGACTTGGAAAGATTTGGGCAACAATGGAGGACCTCGAAAAGATCACCAAGTGGAAGGATTTTTCATTGCAAGGCCAAGATTACCCACACGCTTGTATTCCCAATCAC